TTATATCAAGTCTCTTTGTCGTGAACAAATCTTCGTTTCTTATCTTATACTCCTCTCTTTTATTCCTCTTTAGCAATTAATTTCAGAATTAATTCACAAATTGATTCCATGGTTTGACCACCACCATTAATTCATGAATTGAATCACAAATTAATGTCGAGAATTGACCATTTGGACATCTATGGACTTTGTGCGATGATGGGCTTGCGATGAAATGGACCGGATTCGTGGTGCGCCCTTAGTTCTTTTGAGTAAATTACTTAAATACTTTGCTCGGAGAACTAATACTAGCAAGCCATCTACGTCGCGATCTCACATTTGCTTCCAAAGATTTGAACAAACTTTTGGTTTAAGGTTGCGAAAAACTTGTCTTTCACGTCTTGAGCTGACTCAAACCAAATATTTGTGAGTTATACTTGACTTAGGCTCGAATATAAGTACTATTGTACTAGCGACTTAAAATCAATTTAGTACCATGACAGAAAACTCTTGATTTAATATGAGCTGGACTCGGTAAACATAGTAAGTGAAAGCCCTTGATTTAATACGAGACTGATTCAGTTTAGTATGATGAGCTAGAGCTCTTGATTTAATACAAGACATACTCGGTTTAATATGATGAGCTGAAGATCTTGATTTAATACGAGCTGGACTCGGTAAACTCCGTAGAGCTCGTAGCTCATTAAATGTTTCGAGACAAAATCGATAATTATAGTGAGCTAAAACACTTGTAGCACTGTAACACATCACAATGTTATGAACGTGTGCCTTCGGGATTTTGTCCCTTTGTTTTTAGTTATTCAGACCTTTTTTACGTTCTCATATAACGTATTGGTAAAAAAATTTCGACCTAATTTTATCTCTTTGGCCTCTTTGAGGTTCATGGAATAAGTCCATGGTATCTTTAGCGTTATTTCAAATATTACGGCCGCAACAAGTTCTCTTACATAATCACTCTAAATATAACATTGGGAGTTTCACGGTCTCGACATCGATGATTTTCCATCAAATCTAGTCAGCAAGGTGGACGTCTGTTGTACCTGGGATCGCAAATCCCAGTGTTAAATTTCACAGTTTGTTGAACTTTCGCTTTTGAAATTTACTCGAGTTGACTGAATCGCGAAAAATGCTTTGATCTCTCCATAATGCACGATTAACGATCTGCGTTCGCCATTAATCTTTGAATGAAAGCGTTTGCTTCTTTCTTAGGATGCTTGTTCTTAGAACACTTTGTTCCTTGTGGTTGGTGTCCTGGTGGTCTTCTGTTTTATACTTAGCCGCGAGTATATTTCTTTCAAAACGTGTGCCGTTTTCTGGTTGCATGACCATTGCATTCGCAAGTGCCACAATACGCATTCCCGTCTTGAATTGAGAATTCTATGCCTTTTTCTCATATGTGTAAACATATATTTGTTTCGACAAACATATATCTAGCCCAAGGACATGCCGACCAAATTTCCAATCAATTCGATTTCACGAGCTGTTGGGAACTTTCAACAGATAATATTGTCATTTGTTTTGATCTTTGATTCTCTTGAACTCCTACCACATTTATGAGAGTCTCATCTTTTCAAGCAATTCTTTCTCTCCCCGATAAAGGAAATTCCTTTGACATAATTACTTTGTTCCTAGCCTAACGGCCTTTTTTGTACATCTAAGATAATAAATGTTGACAGCTTGGCCCAACCACACGTCCAACACTGTTTTGAAACCACGAAGGCTTCATATCCAAATGGACTTATCAGTTCGGGATTTTTGTCACGAGGACATACTTTTAGTAATATAGATCCCTTTGTTTTTAAGGAGCCAAATGAATTCACTGGTATTGATTCTTTCTATTACGAGGACTTAAGTTGTGTTTGAAACAACATATGTTCATAAAATCATTCTATTGGCAGCCAAAGGATAGAATAGCTCATCGGCCGGATTTAAGAATCCCAGCCATA